TAAAACCTTGGACAAATTCTTGAAACTTTCTGAGCCTCAGCCTCCATGCTTATAAAGCAGAAACAGGAACACTTGCTTTACATGGCCATTGTAAGAATGAACTAATGCTCGTTAACTCTTAACCTAGTGCTTGGCATGTTGTAAGCACTCAATAATCGGGAGCAATTATTAACTATGGTTATTATGTGGAGAAAGGAAAAGAACTCACAGCAGTCTGAGCAGTGATGTGCGTGCAGCCCACAATTTTGGCTCCAGCCAAAGGCTTTTCTCCTTGAGCTCTCTTCCTCAAAGCCATCAGTGCGGGCATTTCTGAAAAGGCCCAACACATACCCAACAATATTAGAAAAGAGGGAATCAGAGAAAAGAATAAAAAGAAAAACTTATTCTCTTTTAGGTTAGGTTTCTCAAGGGATCAAGACATTACAGCCTGTTTTTCCTTTTATAAAGGACTTGGGAGTCTCTGGGTGATGCAAATAGTGAACACCCTCAGCTACTAAGTAAAAGGCTGGGTTTGAATCCACCCAGAGGTGCCTCAGAAGAAAGGCCTGGCAATCTGCTTCTGAAAAAGCCATCACTGAAAAGCCCCAGGAGCCCAGTTCCACGTCGACACACATGGGTACCGTGAATCAGTCAGCACCACTGCATCTGGTTTCCAGGGCTCTGACTCCTTACCTAGTCTCTCTCCCTCTTCCCTGTACAGGGGATCCTTCTAAACCTGCCAGGGTTCACTCCCTCCCCATGGTGTTTCCGGAGCTCAGATTTCTTTCTCTATAAGTATTCTTCAGCATCACACTGGAATTTCACCAGCGACCAGAACCCAGGACATGAAAGGCATTAACAGCACGGACCAAAAGACACAGGCAGACTGAGAAGGAAAAGCGTTCTTTACCTTGTTCAGCAATTTCAATTTCTCGTCGTCCAAATTCCGCCTGTTTGATGTTCTTGACACAGAAGTCGCTGCTGCCCTTGGAGTTCTTCTGCTGCTTGTCTCTGGGGGATGTCTCATCATCAGAGCTATCTGTATAGGAAGCCGCTGGAACGACAGAATAAAAAACCCTCAGGGAAACGTGGCTTCCTGGAAACTCAAAATTATAAAAAAAAGACCAGATTTTACATAAAAATCTTGTTCTACATCCTACTTTGGTAAGCAGTGACTGGGGTCTTAAAAGCTTTCGTGCAGCCACCAAAATGCACCTATTGGTCCCCTCTCACCTGAAGCAAAGAGTGAAGAAAATCAAAGTCATTTGGAAACAATTAGTCCAAAGATATGACGGACCATGAGGATCTCAGCCTTCACAACCCCGAGACCAGAACTAGATGGTGCCTGGCTACCAATACCAACCACTTGGAAATGGATCAAAATTGGAGATCCTAGTTAGAGTAGGAGGAAAAATGTGGAAGAAAATTCAAAAACACAAAACTGACCAGAATTACTGGTCAGATGGAGATTGGTGGAACCCCCAAGACTATGGCCTCGGGTTATCCTTCAGGCCTAGAAATGGACCTCACTGTTGTGGACTGGCTCTCAGCCCAACAACAGAAAGACCTACATGCAGAACACCTAACCCAGGGAGACGCACCCACCTACCCTAGGGAGACACACCCCTGACATCAATCAACCACGAGACATTAGTGGGGCAGCACTCCCACAGAGGGAAAGCTAGACACGCGGGAACACATAGACAAGAAGGGCACAGGGGAGGAGGCAGTCACAGGAAGGAGAGAGGAGGAGAGGTTTTTATGGTTGTGGATTGAATCGGGCAGTGAAATCAAATGTGCATGAACTGTTGAATGTAAAGCAAATCTGCTCTGTAAATTTGCCCCCAAAGCACACACACACACAGAACAGGTTTACTGGTCTGATGACTCTGCTATGACCCCCAAGACCACGGCCCCTACTTACCCTTCAGGTCTGGAACTGACTCACTCCTGTGGCTTCCAGCCAAACAAAACACAGGCATATAGGGTGAACATTTCCATCAGGTAGATATACTAATTGGAACGCTCAACCATGGGAGAACCGAAGGTCAGTATTTGCACAGGGAGATAGCTCAGGGGGCGGGAATGCATAGAAAAGGAGGACACAGGGAAGAGGTAATTACAGGGAAGAAGTGGGAAGAGAGCTGTTACACTGTGGGAATTGAAGTCAATGTCATGAAACAGAATGTGTATGAACTGCTGTAAGGAAAATGAATTTGCTCTATAAACTTTCACCCAAATCACAACAAAAATTAAAAAAGAAAAAAGAGTGTCTGATCGACAGCTGATCACGAGGATGGTAAAATACACACACGCGTCCTCTAAGAGCCAAATCATGAAATGAACTGAGGTTTCCATGATCATCTGCTGTCATTGTTGCTGGGTGCTGCTGAGTTGATTTTCAACTCATAGTGACCCCATGCGACAGAGGAGAATGGCCCCATAAGCTGTAATCTTTAGACTGCACATCTTTCTCTCATCATCTAGTGCCATAAAAACTTACACATCTGGTAAACACCTACGAGGCACCATGGATCTGTCTCAGTCATCTCCTATGGAAAGTGCCATCCATAGGTCAGAAAGAAAGCTGAGAGACATCTCCAAAGTAGTTCTTCCTGGACAGTATTAACTTGGGATCAAGGGTCAACTTGATCTCAGGACATGCAGAGGTCCTTGATGTGAAAGGAAAGAGGTTACACTGAGGGTGGAACCAGGCTAAAACTCCTACTGCAGTGCCAGGGGCACTGCCTTAGGGCTTTGTGGTATCCCAGCTTTCCCTCTCTGCCCTGCTCAAGTGCCTGATACAATTTGTGTCTTAGTCCAATAATTGAACAGATAAGACCTGAAAACAAGGAACCCACGGGAAAGTAATTAACAACACAAGAAGCGTTTGTCCGGCCTAACAGAGCTTTCTTTTTTGAGGCTGGCTCTGACGGGGCTGAACCCTGCCACGAACGTGGCTGGGCCCAATTAGACGATGACAATGAGGTATTCAGTGTGTTCCCTTCTTGCTGACCTCAGTGGGCCCAGGGTTGGACACTTTAGATTCCCAAAGCAGCTAAACCCTCTTCTAGTATACTAAGATGTTCTGATAACTAACCCATTTAGCAGTACATGCTACAAGGTGAAAGGCCCAAGACTTTTGATCGCAGCTGGCAGGCAGCTGCTGCTACGATCCACATGCTTGGCTGAGGCCTTTTTGGTCTTTCTTCATAAAATACTGTTATTGCTAATCATTTGCTGGATAATTTGAAGCAGTTTCCTTCCTTGATTTATATTTCAGTTCTGAGGACAGTTTCTTCCTAAGCAGCCCTCAAGATTTCGGGGGAGCTGGGGGAAAAAGGCACTGTCCGTAAAGCATTATCTATCTCTCAGTAGGATAAGAAGTACTGCTGTCACTTTTAAGGAGAGAAAGATGCAAGGGCTCAGAACTCCTAGGGGCTACTGTGCTCTGATCTACTTATATCCGGAGAATTAAGGCATTTCTGGGATTTCTTAGTACAGGGTCTACCTCTGGGAGGGCTGTAAAGGGCAAGTCTGACCTTGCCTGGTTAATCAGGTGTGGCCCTACAAAATGTCTGGGCAGCAGGGGCTTGAGTATCTCTCCTGGAGCTGGAACACTGCCCTGGAGCAAAGTCCTAACACGAGGCAACAGGAATGAACGCAGCACCAGGGGAGGCAGGGAATTAATAAATCCCCAAAGAGACTTCTGTGCTTGAAAGAAGCTAATCTGTACAAAAAGTCTGTGGTTCCCCCTCCTGCGGTGAGTAAGAGCACAAAGTACCACTGGTGGCAGAGCCCAGAAACAGCTTCCTGGGGGGCCATCTGTCTCCCTCATCAATACTCAGCAATATCGTTAACGTGGTGGAGGCTCAGGCAATCATGCTCTGACTACTCCAGAGAAAGAAGACAGCAGGGTAATTGCTTTTGAAGACAATGTTTACATTCCAGACACCCAGACATTTCAAATTTCAGAAATGGTTTTTCTGCCCCCCAGCGGCCATTTAAATAGAGTGGTTAGACGTTCTGCAGTCAGTCAAGACTTCGGTTGAAATCACAGTCTATGATTTTGGGTGTACAAAAAAGGTGACCCAGAATGTACTTAATAGGTTGTTAGTTCATTCAGTCATTTGCTCATTGGGTTGTTCACTGGCATGCACTATGTACCAGACACACAACAGAGATGGCTGCGTCTTACTTTCCTGGAGCTTTTAGTCTAGTGAGTGAGTCAGACCTGAAATAATAACACAATTACTTAAGGTGTTTTTGGACGCAATTGTAATCTATGCTATTATAAATCAGGAATTAGGGTGTCATAAGACTGCATTAAGGAGGACACGATTTGTCAGAGTCAGATTATTGAGAAAACTAAATACGCCACCAAAAGTGAAGGGCTTGGCATATAGTAATGACAGCTGATATTACTGGCTTCTACACATACTTGTAACTCAACGTCAGCTGTAATTTATCTTTGAGAGTTCTTACGCGGCTGTCGGATTCTCAATGGGAGAGGAATGGCATACATACAACATCATTTAGCAGCGGCAATCTGTTTCTTTTTCCACCTCTGTCATCTCCTATTAATCTATCAAAGCAGCAGGCGGTTGGCTGGCAGTGATTAAAAAGGCTGAGACTTAGTCTGAACTCTACCCCGAACAGCACACCCCTCCTATGTCTCTTCTGACTCTCAGGATGAGTCAGAAAAACAAAAAACAGCAAACTTTTCATTAAGAGAAGCACTCCAATTTTTGTCTTGAGTTGTTTCCCTTCTAATTCAAAGAACAAAGTTATTTATACTACTTCCCTATTCTAGGAGCTGTAAAAAATGGTATTGTACTGTCCTAACAGTATTAACTGGTCCTGGTTTAGTTCAACCAATGAACTGGTTTTCAAAGAGCCCTGTATATAGACCTGTTATCAGGTAGGAACCAAATGTATCAGTTGTCTGGATTGTACTACCATATGAATTCAACATGGCTGACAGATTCAAACCAAAGAACGTGTTATTTCTACAAACACAGTGCAAAGGTTATTCCTGAACAAGTTTAATACTTATTCACCCTTTAAAGTTCTTTGCATCCATATTCATTCCTACCACTGTATTTAAAGTAGCACATTCATGAAAATAGTTTAGATAGCATTAAAGATTTTTCCTAGGAAAATTCAGAGAAACCCAACACATAAGCATACTCACGCTTAAAGAGAGTTTCTAAAGTGTTTGTAACTGTCAGCACACTCTGAGGCTCTGAGTCACAATTTAATTATAAAATGAACAAGTGATAACTAAGGCAAAACCTACTGAAGCTCACACCTGAGATCCTGGAGCTAGCCTTACCTCTAATTGGTAAGGGACCAATTTTCAATTTATCCAACTGTAAAATAGGGACTTTAACAGACACCCTCTCTCTTCATGCTCTTCCTTTCCCCTAAATACCATCAGAAAAATCTTGTGAATAAATGCAGTAATATCAAAAAGGGGTTCAGTTTCTAGGCAGAAAAATAATGTCAAGTACAATATATCTTTACTCTAGGATGTTCTCTTGCTTCATGACTTCCCAGAGTCAAAATATCACTTGCAGGAGGGACTACTGATGCATACACTCTACGGCTCGAGCATGATTAAGCATTACCCCTCAGCAGCATGATATTGCGGGTTATTGCTAGGAGAAGGAGCATGAAAAATTCTAATTGCAATGGTTCTATCAGACTATTTTAAGTCAGGCAGTTTCTCTTGGGCCCAATCTAGTCCTTGGGTGATAGCATACCAGTGAGCACCCATGTATCAGTGTGCTGTGGTTATCATTAATAAATAACACTCTAGGACACGTGAAAAGCTTTGGTAGCAACCAAAATACAAACAAACAAAATTCTGTTGTTTGGAAAAATCTGAAATTACTTAAAATGCAATGGGAACCAAAAATGAACCTCATCTTTAACTAATTATAATTAACTTACTACAAACATAGCTTTTCAGGAGAAAAAAATCAATGAGAATTATTTGACTCTAAGAAAAAGTCTCTTCCATTCATTGTTTCTGAGTTTTTGTTTTGCTTGGGGAAAAGAGTTTGTAAGTTCATAACTTAAGAGTTTATAAGTTCATTCTTAGAAAACAATTGCAGGGATTTATGTAGTCTTTGTCAACCTGGGTTCCACTAGAATGAAGCCCTACTGCCAGAAACAGCCATTGCATACAACGAATTCGCTTCCCTTCCCTTCTATTCATGTAGCAAAGTACTAGTTATGTACCATCCTTTGGGGAACTGAGAAAACATCCCCTCAAATCATTTTGTGTTCTGTGTTCAAAAAAGGGGCCCTGCTGAGAAGGGCAGGCTGCTGCTGTTGTGCACCCTGAGTCAATACCAACTCAGAGCAACCCTTCAGGACAGAGGTACACTAACATCATGTACTAGGACCATTAGGAAGGGAGGAGAGTACGCCACAGCCTATGGAAGCCTCTAAGGATCGTCAGCAAAACAAGCACCTTGGATAGGAAGGTATCTCTCTTTGAAACGTCACACACCTTCCAGTTGCTTCACATACATAGAGTATATCAGATGTCACCGGGGGCATAAAGTATAATAAGAATGTCTCTGACCACCTTCCTCTGACATCACCTATTGAGCACTTCTATGTGTCAGACACAGTTCTAAATGCTGAGAACAGAGCATTGAACAAACAGACAAAAATCTCTTCCCTCATGGACCTCACATTCAAGTGGCAGGAGAAAGACAAAAATAAATTAGCAAAACAAATAGTATACTACACAATAGTAAGTGTTATGGAGAAAAATAAAGGAGTGAAATTTGATGGGGAGTGTTGGGTAGGGTGTTTGTACAACTTGACAAGAGTATCCAGGACAGACCGCAGTAAGAAGGTGCCAGTTGGTTAAGGTGTGAAGGGGGTAAGAAGACCAGCCAGGCACACACCTGGAGAAAGGGCATTACAGGCAGAGAGAACAGCAGGCACCAAGGCCCTAAAGCAGGAGAGTGCTGGCAAGTTTGGAAACAACAAGCAGGCTGGTATGGCTGGAGTGACATGAACCACTGGGAGAAGAAGGAGATATGTGGAAACAGAGAAGTAATCAGAAATACAACAGGGGCTCAGACAGCATACGGCCTTGTAGGTCAATGTAAGAACTTCCATCTTTACTCATATGAGACTGGGAAATCACAGAGGGTTTTGAGCAGAGAAGTGATATAACTTGACTTATTTTAAAAGAATGAACCTGGCTGCAGCATTGAGAATGGACTGAAGAGAGCAAGGCTGGAAGGAGGAAAATGAGTAAGGAAGCTACTTAAATAATCAGAGATGGTGGTGTCTTGGACAAAGGTGGGGACAATGGAAGTAGGGAGAACTGGTTGAATCCTGGATATATTTTTTCAGGAAAAAAAACAATAGGATCTGCTCATAGGTTGGATATGAGGTATAAGAGAAAGAGGTCTCAGATGACTCCAGGGTTTTTGACAAGAGCAAATGGAACTGTGGGAAGAAAAGATATGGCAGTAAGATTAGGAGCTCAGTCTTTAGGGCATGGGAGGTTTGAGATGCCTATAAAACAAGTGAAGGGACTGAAGGGGCAGTTGACGATATGGGGATAGACTTGAGCTAGAGATAAAATTTGAGAATCAAAAACCTACATATGGGGGAGTGGCTATACATGATATTCAAAACCATGAGATTGAATTCATGTAGGGAGAGAACATAAACAGATAAAGGAAAGGGCTCAAAGATTAGTCTTTGTGGCTCTCCAGTGTTAATTTCTACAGTATTTGAGCTTTAATGGACACTGGAAATGGGCCCCAACTCCTTACTGACATGCACTTGCAATCTCATCATATTTATAAAACCATGAGTCAGCTTCTCATCTGATGGGCAGGAAGATCATTCGGTATCATCTCATGTAACTTCCCATTGCCTCTGCTATGAGCATAGTAAGCTGCAATAGCAGTCCAGGGTCAGAAGACAAGTCACACATGGACAGAGTCTAGAAATGAGGTCTCTCTTAACTTCCAGTACAAAAGTCAAGGCAGTAGGCACATCCATTCAGATTTGTTTAAATAGCCTTGATAACCGTTCAAGTTTAAAAAAAAAAAAAAAAGGCAACAGTGCATGATGTAGCTGGTAAAGAAGCACACACAATCTTAGGTTTCACTGTACAACACTGAGCCTAGTTTACGGACAGTAACACTTCTTATAGGATAGTTCAGACCATATCTGGAATATGATGTTCACAGGCATAGTATTTTTAAAGAGACACTTAACAACCCCAAACAAAATGTTAATCAGTACAGGAAAAGAATGTTACAAAAACTAGCAGTCTGTTTTAGTAAGAGCCTTTCTCCAAATAGGTCAATTTAATAGGTCCAAAAAAGAAAGAAATGAAAAAAACTACTTCCATAAAGATTTACAGCTTGGAAACCCAATGGGGGTTGCTCTAAGTCAGAATTGACTTGATGGCAGTGAGTTTGGTTTTGGAGGGGTCGCTATGAGCTGGATCGGACTCAACGACAGTGAGTTTGGGTTTTTTTTTTGGTGTTTATATATGAAGAATAATAGATGCTGCAAAATAAGTGATGATGTTTAATGTGTATTTCTAGTAAACATAAAACCCACCACCACTGAGTTGATTCCAACTCATAGCGATTCTCATTGGGTTTCCGAGGTGGTAAATCTTTACGGAAGTAGCAGAGTGGCTGGTGGGTTTAAACCACCAACCTTCTGGTTAGCAGTCAGATGCCTTAGGTACTGTGCTACCAGAGCTCCTTTCTAGTAAACATATTTATTTCTAAAAAAGGATACTATCAAATCTGCGGGAGCTCTGGTAGCATAGTGGCTAAGACACTTGACTGCTAACCAGACGGCTGGTGGTTCAAACCCACCAGCCACTCCTCGGAAGGAAGGTTGGGCAATCCTACTTCCGTAGTGATACTGCCTCGGAAACCCAAGGAGGGATCGCTATGAGTCGGGGCAGACTCAACAGCAAATAACAACAACAACAACAAATCCAATCTGGAATATATCCAGATAGGTGACCAGGGCAGGGACTGCCCCAAAAATTGGACAACCAAAAATAGTGATTTCATTGTTAAGTAAGATTTTTAAATTCCAAGGATTGTAGAAGAGCTTATCAGGAGCTAAGTAACTAGATAGGGCAAGGAGCACTGTAGCATCTAAAATGCTCCCAAAGAAGCCAGACGTCCATCTGTCAGGGATGCCACAGAGGTAATTCTAGCATCTAGTAGGAAACTGAATAACTGATTGTTGGGTTCGTTTCCATCTCTGGGATATTTTGAATCCATGCTTTGAATTTAATGTCCTCAAATGAACATAGTAGGTTGACAATTTTGGGCTTACAAAACAAAATTTTTGACTTATAAAAATAAGTCCATTTCATGTATTCCAGTCAATACTCACCAGTGAGCTATACCAGGCAACTACGCTCAAGCTCCAAGCTCACTGCCGTCAAGTTGAATCTGACTCACAGCGACCCCTCCTTGGGTTTCCGAGGCAGTATCTCTACAGAAGTAGATTGACCAGTCTTCCTTCCGAGGAGTGGCTGGTGGGTTTGAACTGCCAGCCTTCTATTTAGCAGTCAAATGCCTTAGGCACTATGCCACTAGGGGCTCCCCTAAAACCAATGTCATCAAACCATTTTCTTCATTCTAAGTACCTAAGTATTTTGTAAGTACCTGTGTACATGGGGATTGGGCAGGAAGTCAGGAACTGGTTTCTTTTGCAGAAATACATTCATTATTTAGTATTAATTTTTAAATAACATGCACAAAACCACAGGCTAAAATGTTATACATGGTTTAAAATTCACATTTTCACAATGGTTTCCAAAGGTCTATCAACCAGTTTATTAATTTTCAACACTGGTTATTTCAGCAGAATTAAGTTAAGGACAAAATCTGATAACCTTAAATATAAATCCACAGGGATTTATGTCATGTGCTTTATACCATTCATAGTTGTTGTGTTGGGGGTGGGGGGGGGCGTGGGAGGAGGGACAGAAGAATAAAAAGAGAAACTTAGATAGCAATCTGCCCAACCAAAAAGTTAGAGCTCTCCAAATAAGCTTTCCTCAACTTTAAATAACAGGTACTACTGTCCTATTTACGTAAAGAACAGTTAAAATTTCAGGTGACAATAAGAGTGTTCTAATGAGCATGATCTGTAACGTGAAGAGGTAACTAGGGTGAACACTCAGCTGCCTACCACATTTCAACAGAACAGCAAAGTCAAACAGCTCCCTATTGGATCTGACATATACGGGGGGCACTGTTGTGCAAATGGCCAATGCCTTCGAGGGGCTCTATACCATAATGGTTCATCTGGTATTAAGTTAAATGGTATTGAATTAATGCCACTGCAAAGGAAGGAAGGAAATTACGAGCAATGCAATGTCACAACCCAGAAGACAAGGCCAAGTGCCCACTTGTCTGAACTAGTTGGAATGTCTTTGTTGCTTCTTGGGGCAACTGAAATTTCTCTTGAATTTGCAAGTACCACAGGGAAACATGGAGAACCCCTCTCCAATTACAGAAGATGAAAAAGTTAAACACGCTGCTCACTGAAGATCAGCAGCTACATGGTGCCACCCCTCTAAGGACATCAAAAAACTCAGTTTCTATCATAATCTCCTTTCTGCCTCTCCTGAAGAGAAGGCCTCCTTCCATTCGGAGCTCCACTTTGATTTTCCAAGAGGAACCCAGAGATTCCATCTAGAATTGTGGTCTAAACTTCAACTTAGAGTCAAAATGCTTATTCCGAAGCATGGGCTAGATTGTGCTCGCTTCACCTTGGGCTGACAGGAGGGCCCGCTGCAGCCCAGTACCCACCTGAGCTGTAGCTGTCAGTTGATGACTGAGAAATGGAACGAGACAGAGAGCGGCGTCCGATTTTGGTGGGACGTTTGTTGAATTCCTGCTTCTGGTCAGCAAATTGGATCTGCTAAGAAAAAGAATACCAGTTATATCCAGGAAAAGAAACTCCACTTTGAAACAGCAATTCAGGATTTGCGCTATCAGCTCTTAGCTTCTTCCCAATTGATCTGATTATGTTGTTGTTAGTCAGATCCGACTCACAGCGACCCCTTCTTGGGTTTCCGAGGCAGTATCACTACGGAAGTAGATTTTGCTCAATCTTCCTTCTGAGGAGTGGCTGGTGGGTATGAACTGCCAGCCTCCTGGTTAGCAGTCAAGTGCCTTAGGCACTACGTTCGTTACCAGAGCTCCTGATCTGATTACACCAAACCCTATTTGGAATGTTGAGACTCTATGAGAGAATGATTTCTCATACTTTACCTACTATGTTTGTATCGTATTTAAATCTTTCACTCTGATGATATATATGCTTTTTATAACAAAGTTGTGCCCCCCCCCCAAAAAAATGGAGATTGAGATGATATGGTTAGAACAAATTTTTAGAAAGCCGAGTGATATTCATTTACAACGCATAATCCTTTCTATATAATTTCACTGAAAAGTGAAGGTGGAAAGAGTTTGAGAATAATACATTTAGGTGGCAAAACTGTGAAGTAGAGAGAATTTGTAAAATGACCTGTCTTCATCTTTCAAGGTTCTTATGCTGGAAATGTTATGGTACAATGAAAAAAATAAGCTTTGCATGCAGACAGAACTTTCTGGAACTGCATTCAAACCCTGACTAAGCTACTCATTAGCTGTGTGGTGTTGGTTAAGATGCTTCTGTGAGCTTCATTTTCCCATATGTACAACAGAGATAACAGTATCATATTTTTATACAAATAAAGTGCAAGTTATACAAACCATGTAACCCCTTCAAGTATAAGCTTCCTATGCATGCTGTGTGTATTTTGTGCATATGCAAGTTATTTATGAAAAATATAGTACTTATTTCACAGGTTTTACAGAAGGTTAAATGAAACGATGTGTGTGAACTGTGAAGCAGAGATTCAATAAATCTACTCTACTCCCCACCCCCGTGGTTCAGTATTCTTCCAGTTCTTACAAGTAGCCACTCTAGTTTTTTTCAAACAGCTTTCTGAAAAATGTATTAGCTTTTTGGTACTAGCAAGTCTATCTGTTACCTGTTGCCATGGAGTAATTTCTGACCCATAGTGACCCTATAGGACAGAGTAGAATTGGTTCCAACTCACGGTGACCCTCCTTGGGTTTCTGAGGCTGTATCACTACGGAAGTAGATTGCCCAACCTTCCTTCCGGGGAGTGGCTGATGGGTTTGAACTGCCAGCCTTCTGGTTAGCAGTCAAATACCTAAGGTATACCTTAGGCACTATGGCCACCAGAACTTCTATTTTTGGTTTTTTTTTAGAACTGTTCCATAGGGTTTCCAAGGCTGTAATCTTTACTGAAGCAAACAACCACATCTTTCTCCCATAGAGTGGCTGGTGGGTTCAAATCCCACCAACCTTTCAATTAGTAGCCGACTCCTTAAGCACTACATCACCAGGCCTCCTTCACTGGTAAGTACAGTAAGCATTAATTTATTTTTTTAATGTTTAGAATCATAGAACTCCTGAGTCATAGGACTCACTACTCATATTGATCATGATATGAGAGATGTGGAAGAGGTAGACAATTGGATCATACTCCGGAGGCTGTACTTTAGATAATATCTAATAGTAACTTTTTTTTAATTTCTCTACCACTGTTGGAGGTTCCAGCTGACAACTTATAATACTTTACAGATTAAAGCTCATATCATTTACTCAATGAATAACTGTTTTCTTTTTTCCTAACTAAATGTTTGCATAATCACTTAGATTATGCTTCTGGCACAGATGTGGGTCTATTGAAAAGGACCAAAGATCTGACAGTGATGGTACCTTTAATGATAAAAAGATGGGTCCTCGATGGGCAGAATCCAGATACAGCATACCAGAGTGAAAGCAGAGAGTCATGTTACATTTCCTGCAGTTAGAGGTAACCTTCAAGTTATCTGAGTACTGAGACAAGGGAGTCAATGCCTAGTTGAATTAGTTTATCATTGTACTTTAGGAGAATCCAAAGCCACAACAACCAATAAAGCCTGCGTGGTGCTTAGAGTTTGCAAAATGTTTTCAGAAAGAGAAACACTCATTGGATGAGAAGCTCTTGGCAAAATGAAAAATGGCAAAATAAAATTGATCCTTTTGCTAAAGTAGCAATTTATTTCAAAAGGATAAAGTGTTCCATGTACTCTCACAGGAAGTACATGAACTCCTACATACTTCTATCACAGCACTCACTACTCTGAATATAACTGCCTGTCTGCCTACCTGTTTGACCTCCTAACCCACAGGTTCAATAGAGGCAGGGTGTGTGTTATTCACCCCTGTATTCTCTGGTACAAATGCCTGGCGTATAGCATATCTCACTTGTTCTATTCTAGCTATCTCCACTGCCTGTACTTGGCTGAATGTTAAGTAAATACAGTAAACATTAAGCCAAGTCTGATGTTAAAATAAGTTTTAAGGGCAAGAAAAGTGGAGAGGGAGAAGAGAGAGGATGAGAAGATAAGGAGGGGGCCAGCGGTGAGGGCTCCTGGCTGGACTCTACTTCATCACCTTGTTGATGGCCATCTTTGTCTTTATTCTTTTGTGGAGGCCCATGTAGGAAAAGGAGTTGTAACTGACTTTCCAAAGGCCACACTGAGTCACTAACTTCAGCAGTGCCCACTTTTAAAAGAGTAAGAGATCACCTCTGCCTCAGATATATGACCTCACCACCACCACCACCACCACCACCACCACCACCACCACCACGACACACACCACTAGAGGGGGCCGGTCATTCTAGATCTTCACAGGTGTAGGTTCTGGATGGGGACACTCACATCTACCCAAGAAAATGAAAGCTGTGTAGATACCTAGTTGGGCCATGATCTCAAACCAGTTTCCCTAAACTGAGTTCTCTTCGCTATGAAGTTGATCCATGTACAGTGTTCCCTCCCGCCCACCACAAGTTTAGGGTTGTCCTTTGGCATTAAAGACGACAGGGCTCCCTAGGCTTTCTTCATTCAGAGACAGAGTTACAAGAGCTTGTTTACTGGTTAGACACTGACTCGTTATCTTTAAGACAGACAGCAGTGACTCTTTCAACCATATATATAATAAGTTACACGGTTTTCCCAAGAAATAAATATTTATCTTTTGGAGGGGTCCTATGAGTCGAGTCCGACTCCAAGGCACATAACAACAGCTAACCAGAACCAATGGGGTAAGTGGGTCATTCCCTGGTGTCTGTGTGCCCTCAATAATTATTATGCGAGGTGACACTCTTCACTCAACAGTCCACCTTGGAAGACAGTAATCTACCCATCCCACTTGCAGTGCCCTGGTAGATTCTACCCCTAACTTTCCTACCTTGTCTGAAACCAATGAGTCCTTTATAGTAACTCTTGTAGCCCTCAGAGAGAACCACCTAACTCCAGCAAGCATTAAGGCAAGAGAGCGAAAGAGTGTTAGCAGGGCTCACGTTGTGCCAGAGGGAGGCAGGGAAGCAGGAAAGGAGGGACAGGGTCTAAGCGGTTTACAGTAATGGCCACAGCAGCAGCAAGCCCGGGAAGGAAGAGCTGAGCCTCACCTGGGCTTTCATCCCAGAGTTGCCATTGACAATGTATTTCTTCTTGCTGCTCAGCATAGTGACATTACCAGCCTTACTGCCACCTCTCCGGTCCAGGGACCCTTGTGGCCAGGCCTTTAAACCTTCCTCATCAGTAATTCTGCTGGCTCTGGTTCCAGCTAGCTTTTTTTTTTTTTTTTTTTGG